TATTGAGCTATAAGGTACGTATTTAAATCGATATCTAGTTTCTGTGGTATTTAGTGCGTGATCGATATCAACTTTCTGTGGTATTAAGTGCGTGTTCATATATATATATATATATATATATATATATATATATATATACACATTTAACATCATCCCATGTTAAGACAGCAGAGGTGTTGAAACAAAATTTCTATTTTTGTAGTGATTTTATAAAATATTTATGTTATAATTTTCGAATAAATAATTATATTTGCTCTACTCTGCATTGAGCACTCTTTTAAGATAGTCATTTATGGTTATTGGAATTTATTCCGTATACACCAATCCTATACTTGTATATATATATATATATATATATATATATATATATATATATATAAATATTAGTATTATTATCAAAATATTTTATCGGGACACAGAAATTCCCCTGTTTCTGAAGTAGAAATTTTCTTTCCATTTTCAAGCGATGTTGAATAACTTCAGAAAAATGTTATTAAACAAATTAGCATAATATTGAGGCGTTTAAATCGGAAGGGGTAATTAGATTACAACCTATTGTTTTTATTATTTTAGGGTGTATTTCTATTTTTGAAGGATTTTTGAAATTGCAAAAGTGAAAAAGTACGTTAGAGATCGACTTTTTATCGAGCACTTTAAAAGCATAAATATATATATATATATATATATATATATATATATATATATATATACTATCCGAATAACCCGCGCCGTACTTCGTGTCACAAATATTTGTTGTAAGAAAATGAGGATTGATTTTAACTCATTGTTATAATTTGTCGAGAAAAATGATGCATTTCTATATTGCTCAATGATCTTACCGATGTGACCTTCATCTTCTGGGTTTCTCCTTCTATATTTTGGATAGGAGTCATTCCCTTGTTCAAATTTAAATTTAGTTTAAATCAAACGAAAACAATCTTTAGTGGGAGGCTTGTGCCAAAACATATTGAGCTGACCGCTTTGATATGTATTTGATGCAAAACTTGATTGAATGATTTGATGAGCAGATTTCAATACTGACATCAAAGTTGAATTGTTGCAACAAATATGTACCGTAAAGTACTACCAACATATTGGCTATTTCTTGCTCAACTTGACGTCCATATTGTCTCATTTGGATCTTGCCGATGTGACCTTCATATTCTGGCTTTCTCCTTCTATATTTTGAATTGGATTCATTCATTTCTTTTGCTTTAAATTTAATTTAAATCAAAGGGGAAAATAAATTCGGTGTTGGGGTATGCTCCCCGACGACCCCCTTTGATGAAAAAGAAATATACTTATCTAAATACCCTGCGTAATGTAATTTCAGAATATATATGGTTATCGGGGTCTATCTCCAAAAGTCTAGTTGGATTTCGATGAATTGTTGAGCAAATCTCGATAATGATATGACAGTTGAATTGTCGCAACTAATATGGATTATAAGGCACTACCTACTGATTGATGATTTCTTGCTCAACTTGATGTCCATATTGACTCATTTTGATCTAGCCGATTTGACTTCCATCTTCAGTCGTTATCTTCTTATTTTTTGGATAGGAGTCATTCCCTTGTTCAAATTAAAATTAAATTTACTTCAAAGGAAAAAAAATTCAGTCGGGGGTTTGTGCCCACTGAAAATGAAATGATCTTATCCGAGTCCTCTGGCTAATGTAGTTTCAGAATATATACGGTTATGGGGATCTGTTTCAAAAACCGTAGGAGGAGTTCGGTAACAAGCAAACAGACAGATTGGAGCTACAACTATATATATATATATATATATATATATATATATATATATATATATATATAAAAGAAGAGAGGAACCGCAAACATTTTTGGTTATAATGTGGATTTTTAAAAAATATATTATGCTTTATTTGCTATAATTTTGCTACACGGGTTTCCGGTCTCGCGACCTTCATCTGGCAAAGAGTGGTTATTTGCACATGTTAAATGGAAATAATTTTTCTTATGTTTATCGATATTAAATATTCTCGATATTAGACATTCTCTTTTTTTTGTGTTACTGGCCCAAATGTCTTTCTTGAACTGGCAGTGAAAGAATTCTGCATGAAGGGTAATAAAACAATTAAGACTGGTTCAAGAAAGAGTGAAGAAGATATCTAAATTCTTATCTTTTAATTACCCCTGTGTGCTCTTAGATCTATTTCCATTTTTTGTGTAAATTATCAATTTACATAACCAAATTTTAAGTAATTTCTCCGGGATAAACACCAAACCTGTTATCGAACCACCCTGTAATTGTAGTTCTAAAGAAAATTGTCCAATAGAGGACAAACGCAGATCTACTAGGGTTATATATCAAGCGAACATTTCCCCCTCAAAAAATATGAAGAATTTTAATGTTTACATTGAAATTTCCGCGGGGAATTGGAAACTGAGATTTTATACCCATAGACACTCATTTTTTTACCCTAAACTAAAATACTAGATAGCACTTTTAAAAAAAAAATGGTGGATTGAAAGAGAAAGATTTGAGTCTTCAGATAATTTGGAAAATTATAGATTCCACACGTACTCCTAATGGTCTTAGATGTAAGTGTGACTTATGTTTAGAAGAAAAAATTAGAATAATAAAATACATTAATCAAAGGAATCTATTGAATTAGTGGAATGAATTAGAGTTAAAATGTCAACACAAGAACAAATTCAGTTTTCTATAATATAGGTTTAAGTTAATTAGCTATTATATTTCCATAATATTCACTCGCTTCTAATTCTTCAAATGTTGAATGTATAACTAATTCTAAATTGTATCTTCCCCCCTTTGGAAACTTCTTTAGCTATATTAATTATAATTTATAAATTTCCCCTACTCTAAGATCGCTCCAGCCCTATTTCTATTAATCCCTTACATCCGTTTATCTAAATATTTTAACCCTATTTTAATCCCCTTTTAATTTTAAATTAATATTTCATTCTTTGTATAACCACAAATTAGTCTTAAGTTTAATATTCCCTTTCAAACAAATACCTTCCATGACCCCTCACTCGTGCCTTTGGTCTGACCGAAACATTGAAATGGATAAATTCTATATGAGATTGTCGAAGGATTTTTAGCTTCCACAGTTAAAGTTCTATTTTCTTATACAAACTCGGGGTTGATAAAGCAGACCTACGTTATCTTCGTCTGCCGAAATAGATTATTCCCCATATGATGTGATTTGGGATTTTATTGTTTATTAATTATTTTCTCTGTAATAATAAATTCTTTTTGTGGATCAGTTTTAATATTTTATATTTCTAGGATCCACTTTGATTATATACCAAAGGATTTGTTACATTTATATATATATATATATATATATATATATATATATATATATATATATATATACAACGGATTTTTACATTTACTTTTACACACACATATATATATATATATATATATATAATTTAGTTACTAATTTACAGTTTTTTTCATGTATAGTTTTGTTAAATATTTTATACGAACTGTCTTTAAACTGGGTCATTATTTTTTTAAAAATTAAAAATGTTGAATATAAAATGGAATAAATTAAATTTTGTCGCATGTTCCTATAATTTCATATTTGTTTTTCTTGCTCTCATAATGCATAGATGTGAAATATGTAATTGCACCCTAATATTAGCACAAAACTGCAAGTAATGTTAGAACCTTTTTTTTTAATCATTTGGTCCAATGACGATTTAGATTTCCGTTTATCCTCCCTGGGCTTTGTTTTATAATCCATGTTTCATTTATTATTGATTAATAGAACTGTTTTTTTTTTCTTATTAACCGAAGTATATTCTTTGGTGCATTCATGTCAAAATAAGTAAATTGACAGCAGATTTTTAAGCCTAACGTTCGAGAACAAATTTACGTCACATCAAATCAGATGCAGTTACTTCCGTTTTAGTTTTTCTAGCAAAACTATTTTAGCGCCATTCCAAGTGCTCCAGATATTATAGTTTTTTGTTGTTTTTTTTTTACATTTATAAGTCTCTGTTGTTATGTCAACGAACATTCGTTGCCATTTTTGTAATGCCAACGGATACTCGATTTCATTTTCGTAATTCTCGTTGTAGTAGAAACATTGTAATCGCAGATACAAATATAGCAACGAGGTTGAACAATACTGGTGTCAGATGCCTTTGAATAATCTCGCACTAATAGTACTTGCTCGATAATACTCGCTCGAATAGCAAACCATATAGAAAAATAGTGTAGTGTATAAAGTATAGAATAGTGGTTCGAATCGTAATAGAGTAGAGAGGAAAAATAGCAATCCGAATAGTAATAGAGGATAGACTAGAAATGAGGATCCAAATAGTAATAGAGGGTTAACTAGCTACTTCCTACATATATTCGTTTCTTCTATGATTAAATTGTCTAATTAATTCAATAATCGGATAGCCTATGTTTGCTCGCTGGCGATCTATGTTCAAACTCAAGTGTAGGCAATAAATAGATATCATAACTGAAAAATCCGTGATTGGAAATACTTTCTTATTCATTTTTTTGGTATTCATCGTGACTTTCATTTAATTATTGTCACATTTTATATATAATAATAATTTTATAGAGGAAATAGACAGGTGTCATATTCACTGAGCGACGCCATTCGTCTATTCAGATGCATGACTTAAAATGTTAAATATCTAATGGTAATGAGCATGATGTAATTAAATAGCAAACAATGAAATAATCTTTCTCCAATTAAAATAAGCAATATAATTAATAATATGCAGCAGAAATGGTGTTTAATGAAATACACATAGGATCAATCTGATATGACGCCATTTTGATTATTGGAGATAAATATTTACTCAGAATTCGGGAGTGGAAATAAATGATTGAAGTGATTTATAAAAGTAAACAAAGCAATATGAATCAAATCAGTGGGGAAATTGTAAGAGAGAAAGAAAGAAAGAAAGAAAGAAAGAAAGAAAGAAAGAAAGAAAGAAAGAAATTCATGGCATAGTGAGAAAGAAAGAAAGAAAGAAATTCATGGCATAGTAAGAAAGAAAGAAAGAAAGAAAGAAAAAGAAAGAAATTCATGGCACAGTGAAAGAAAGAAAGAAAGAAAGAAAGAAAGAAAGAAAGAAAGAAAGAAAGAAAGAAAGAAAATCATGGCATATTGAGAAAGACAGAAAGAAATATTTGATATCTGTAACGAAGAAGTCAGGATAAAAGAATGAAAGGGATTCGCCATTATATTAATAAAGCAACGATGAAAGCAAGAGAGAAATTCGTGATAATAATTGTAAAGAGAAAGGAATTCGTGATAATCGTAAGAAACAAAAAGAAAGAAATATATAAATTATTGGTAATAATAAAAGAGAAAGTAAAGAATTCATGATAATTATCAGAAACAACGAAATATGGAAACAATGAAAGAAAGATATAAAGAAAAAGAAAAAGAAATTCATGAAAACTTTGAGAAAAAGAGAAATTTCTGATAATAATAAGAAATAAAGAAAAAAGATTGAAAGAAAGAAACAATAAAGCAATGAAAGAAATATTGAAATTTATGTGAGTAGCGAGAAAGAAAGTATGAAATTCAGTAATAAAAATAGTCACAATAAAAGAAACAAAGAAAGAAATTCATGATAATAGTAAGAAAAAAAGCTAAGAAGAAAATAATTCAGAAAATTAAAGAAAAGGAAATATTCGGGAAATCTTAGAGAAAGAATGAAAAATATTCCTAATAATGTTGAGAAAAAAAACAAAAGAAATCCCTCATAGTATTAAGAAAGAAAGAAAGAAAGAAAGAAAGAAAGACATTGCCGATAATATTAATAAAAAAAGAAATTCCTGATAATAATGAAAGAAAGAAATCTCTGATAATATTAAGAAAGAAAGAAAGACATTCCTGTAATGTTGAGAAAGATAGAAAGAAATACCTGATAATATTAAAGAACGGAAGCAAGTAATTCCTGATAATATTGTGAAGGAAAAAATCTTGATAATTTTGAGAAAGAAAGACATACTTGTTTATATAAAGAAAGAAAGAAATTCCTGATAATAATAAGAAAGAATGTCCTGATAATATTAAGAAAGAAAGAAATTTCTGATAATATCATGAAAGAAGAACATTTCTGTTAATGATGAGAAAGAAAGAACGAAATTCATGATAATATTAAGAAAGAAAGATATACTTGATAAAATTAATTAAGAAAGAAATTACTGATAATAGTGAGAAAGAAAGAAAGACATTGCTGATAATATCAAGAAAGAAAGTTATTCCTGATAATATTTAGAAAGAAAGAAAGAATGACATTCTTGATAATATTCAGAAAGAAAGACATTTTTGGTAATGCTGAGTAAGAAAAAAAGAAATCACTCATAATTTTGAGAAAAAAAGAAAGATTTTTCTGATAATATTAGAAAAGAATGAACGAAATGCTTGATAATATTGAGAATGACAAAGGCATTCCTGATAACGTTAAGAAAGGAAGGAAGTAATTCCTGATAATATTAAGAAAGAAAGAAATTGATGATAGTATTGAGAAAGAAACAAGGAAATTGCTGATAATATTAAGAAAGAAAGAAAAAATCCTGATAATATTGAGGAAGAAAGACCTTGCTGATAATGTTGAGAAATAAAGAAAGAAATTCCTGATAATACTAATAAAGGAAGAAAGAAAGAAATCCATGATAATATCAATTAAGAAAGAGAGGAAGAAAGACATTCCTGATAATATTATGAAAGATAAGAATTCCTGATAATATTAATATTAATATATAATGCAAGAAATTTGTGATAATATTGAGAAAGAAAGAAAGAAAGAAAGAAAGAAAGAAAGGCATTCATGATAATGTTGAGAAAGAAAGAAATCCTTGATAATATTAAGAAAGAAAGAAAGAATGATAGAAAGAAATTCCTGATAATATTGAGAAAGATAGAAAGAAATTCCTGATAATATTAAGAAAGAAAGAAAGAAAGAAACAAACAAACAAACAAAGAATGGAATTCGTTTTTAGAAAGAAATCAAAGAGAATAATAACAATGAAAAATGACAAAAGCACCAACTCGGATTATTTATTACTTATGGGATAAGGAAAATGTATTTGTCACATGGCTGAGATATTTGTGTATTCATCACGTGAGACAAGAAATTGTGTCCAGCTAAAAGCCATGATTCTGAATACTGATAATTTAATGGGGTCTCTTTAGATTTACCCTAATATTTTTAGAATGTTTTACCCCTTTTTTCTTTGATAACTTCTTTTTTCTTCAGTATTTACATTAGTCGGACTATTGTCCTCATCTTTGTCGCCATATTTGTCACAACAAATATGAACTCTGGTAAAGACATGCAATGATAACAGCAAAAATTGCAATATGAGCAATGGTAAAAATGATGCTGAAAAAATTAGGTTTATAATACTCAGAAGTTCATACACAGATGTCCTCAAGGACCCATGGCACAGTGGATAAAGGCGTTGGTTAGATCCAGTGACAGACCCAAAGAAGGTGAGTTCAATTCTCAGTGGAGAACTTTCAGAGGGAAAATTAGCAGGAGATAACTGATAACTGACATCCATCAAACATGGCACGTGGAATTAGAACAGTCTACCCCGGTGATCGAAATAAAGGGTTCAGTTCGAAATTCCAACCACCTGAAGAAGGCTGGAGCGTACAACGGCCGAGACGTTGTGAAAAATATGGCGACAAAGTTGAGGACAATAGTCCGACTAATGTAAATACTGTACATAATACCTCATCTCAGAAATATAGACAAATTCTTTTTTCTTGCTTAAGCATTAAAATTTATCAGAGCTTCACTTATAAAAGTGTTGATATAAACGCTGGCCACATAAGAGAATTTCAAGTATCTATTTATTCTTCGAAATTGATTTTCAACATGGCGCCGCTTTTACATTATATAAAAAAAATTATTGGTAAAATAATCACCCTACCAGGTAATAAAGCACTTCGACGTGGTGTAATAGTTAACAAGCTTGTCTGGCTAGATCAGTTACGGCTGAGTAGCGACTTCGATTCTTACTAGGTGCTCCAAAACTTCGACCGTGTGCCACATCTAAGCTACGCTTAAAAATCATTCAGAGAACCCCGACGTGTTTTAATGGTTAGAAAGCTTGTCTGGCTGGAACAGTTACAATTGAGTTCAGTCCTCTCTGTGTGCCCCATACTTTCGGCTTTATCCTGCATCTAAGCTAGGATTAGAAAATCAACATCCTACCACGTAACATCTCTGCTTGAACTATTTTGAGACTAATGTAAGCTTATTAAATTTTAAAATAGTAAATGACATGAAAAGAGACGACGAGTAAGCCTTAGAAGAAACGATCTAATATTAAAAGGGGAAAATCGCAAAAGCAACCACAGAGTAATAGAAGATTAAACAATGGGAAAATTAAGAAGAATATTAAAAGACGTAAATTTGGGATACTACGCTGAGAATAAAAGCGGTAAGAAGAGAAGGCAGCGGAAGACACATGAAAAGAGATTTCAATTTGAGGAGAAAATCTTATTCGTTAGGAAATGGTACCGGTGTGGGGGGGGGTGAGAAATCAATCAGTTTTTATTCACACCTAAAAAGACGACAAGAGGAATGTGTTTCTCCGACTACTTCGACAATCATTTTATCTGTTGTCGGACACTTGTGATAAAATGTTCTTAACAAAAGGAACACGTATTTGATGAATTACAATGGGCAAAGACATATCGAATTGTAAAGGGATTGGTAAATCGAGAAGATGAAGAAAGTAAAAACAGAGATACAAAGAGAAAGGGAGGAGAGGGTAGCGATCATGCAGAGAGTGAAGGAGGACAATAAAGAAAATACAGATACATATCTATCTATCTATCTATCTATCTATCTATCTATCTATCTATCTACATCATACACACACACACACATATATATATATGTGTATATATATATATATATATATATATATATATATATATATATATATGTGTGTGTGTATATATATATATATATATATATATATATATATATATATATATATATATATATATATATATATATATATATACAGGGAGAGAAAGAAGAGAGATCTTTATCATGAAATACTTTATTTATGGAAATACATTGCAAGAAAAACTTAGAAAAGTTTAGCATAGATTAAAAACAGGACTGAGAAATCAAAGAGAGAATGAATGAATGAATGAATGAATGAAACGTAAAAGAAAAAAAAAGTGAACTAGGATACAACCAGAAAGAAAACGTGGATACATGGATGAGAAAGAAAAGAGAAAGAAAGTAAAAGTGAATGAATAATAATAAAGAAAAAAAGAAAATTGAAAAAAGAAAGAGAAAAATGAAATAAAGAAAAGAATGAATAGATAGTTGAATAAATGAAAGAATGAATAAGAAGAGTGTAATCAAAGCCAAAGGTGGACTATTAAAGAAATGCTATAATAATTGAAACGAAAGAATGCTCAGAAAAGAATAAAGAAATATTGAAAGAAGAGGAAATATGAATGAATGATTAAATAAACGAAAAAGATGAGAGATAGAGAAAATCAAAGCAAAACATAAAAATAGAGAAACAGAAAATAAAAGAAAGAATAAATAGAGGGAGAATGGATGCGATAGTGAACGAATAAAACGGAATGTAAAAAGACATAAGTGTAAGAAATGATAAAAAAAAGAAACAAAAGAAAGAATGATTGAAAAGAACAACCAAAAAAGTACAAGAAATGAGAGGAAAGAAAAATGAAAGGAGAAATTAATGAATGAACGAATAAAAAAATAATAATAAAATGCAAAGAATGAAAATATAAAAAAAAAAGAATGTAAAAGAAGTGATGAACGGAAAAAAGGAAGCGGAAATAAAAAAAAAAAAGAGAAAGAAGAGGAAGACAAAAGAAACGAAAGATGATAAAGTGGAGACGATCAAACGACAAAGAAAAGCTTTGGCTTTTGTGGTTTTTTATTCAATTTTGCACGTTTCTTGCCGTCAACATTTTGTTTTGGTAAGCCTCGGCACAGTGAGCTTTCAACTTACTGACGACGTAGGTTCCATTATAGATAAGAGCGTCTAACGACGAAATCTACTTGGCCGGCGTCTATGAATAGTCATAAATGGAGTCAATAGAAAATGTCTTTTACTTGGAGTCGACGAGGTGTTTTCATGAAACATACTTAGATCGGTTGAATAGCACTGTTTGTAAGTTTACTTAGAAACGGCAAACGACAAATACATTTATATTAGATCATTGCTTAGCGAAGTAGTTTCTGTTGGGAAATACAGATTGTGTTTGGAACAGAAGAAGAGACAGGCAGATAGAGAGACAGACGGATAGTTAGATTATAGATAGATGGATAGATAGATATGAATAGTAACTGATATTTACAGACACACATACATATACACAGACACGCACACAAACACACACTCACACACACACACACATATATATATATATATATAGAGAGAGAGAGGGAGAGAGAGAGAGAGAAATTTAGCGAGAGACCAGAAAAAACTACTTGTTACATGAAAGATGAAGTGAAGGCAAAGATTATGGCATCATTCACCAAATTAAACAAGGAAGAAATGCGACAGATTCCGAAGGCCGTGGTTTAAACAACTGGAGATTTTATTGAATACATTTACTCTCTAGTATGTCAAGATATTTTGGTGTAATGTTGGTAAATATATCTGTTAAAATGAGATGTCAGTGTTATTTTCATCTTTGCGTAATTTAGACGACAGTTTATCCATCGCACCCTGTTTATATATGTATATAAAAATTCTTCCAATGAAACCATATTTAACAAAGCTAAAAAAGACTACGAAACATTCCTAAAAGATAGTGGATTCCCGGCAACACTCACATACTCACCATAGAGTACAAAAAAAGTCAACAGGAAAGGAAATATCATATGGTTCAACCAATCCTACAGCAAAAAAGTAAAAACAAACTTAGAAAAATATTCTTCAAACTCTTAGACAAACACTTCCCGGAATCAAACACTCTCCACAAAATATTCAACAAAAACACAGTAAAAATCAGCTTCCGTTGCAGCGAGAACATGGCACAAGTAATAAAAAATAACAAAAGAAAACTTATCAAAAAACCACCCGGACAAACTAAACCCACGTGCAACTGCAGAATAAAGAATGAAAGTTCTTTAAACGATAATTGCTTACAAAACAACTTAATATACTAAGCCACGGTAAAATCACAAGGTAAAGAAGAAAAATATACATAGGAGGAACCCTGAAAACAAAGAAACTATGCACACAATTTATCTTTCACAAATAGTATATATGCGAACAGTATATCTGGCAAATAAAAAACAAAACGTAAATCACACCAAAAACATCATGGAAAATAAGAAAAGGGACATCAGCCCACAACAATCAATCCAAAACCAGAAAACCTTGCTTGAAGTAAAAAATAGCTATTATTACCTTCCCAGACAAAAACAAACTACTAAATAGATTATCGCAACTCATCTCAAAATGCAGACATGAAAACAATTTTTACTACGTTACTTAAAAATCTAAAACTGAAAAGTAAAACTGAAAAATAAACAAAATAAAAATAAAACACATGTAAAATAAATTAATCCAAGCAAATAATAAACAAATAAAAAAAAAACCTACCGCCATAACAACTGTTAGAATAGACGAAAACGAATAAATAAAAATAAATAAGAAAATTCAAGTAAAAATTATCTTTCCGAATACA